TCGGGGACTTTATATTTTTATGGATATAAATTTTTTGCATTTTTTTATGACTACAGATTTTGAAAAGTTCATAATATCTTTTGCAGAGTTTTGTAGCAAAGAGCACTTTGTTTATTGGTATCTGCAATTAACATCAAAAATTTTAAATCAGACCAGAAAAACTACAATCAATGCATCTTTATTCTATAAAAATATACTCACCCTTTCTTTGTATTTTCAGCTCCTGACTGTCTGAAGACCAAGATGTCTGAACTTCGTCTGTACTGCGACCTTCTTGTCCAACAAGTCCAGACCATCCAATCACAAAACAGTAATGATCCAGAAGAGCCTGCGACCTCAGAGGTAACACATATTATCGAGGGATGTCTGATATTAATGTTTTGCAGATATACGATATGCCAATATTTTCACACTTAATTTCCGATTCTGATATCGACCGATACCGAAATAGTCTTGGTAATATTTATATTACACAAACAGCTGTAGTGGCGCTTTGGCCCAGAGGCAGTGTCTCTGTCATGGGTGTGGAACCCCAGGGTTCACCTCCTGGGCAAGATCGAATCCCGGTTAGGGCAGTTGGTACCTTCCAGTGGACTTACCACCTGCAGGAAGGATTGGGGGTTGGTACGGTGCAGTGTGATTTGGGTGGAGACTGCTGCCCCCGCGACCCGTTAATGGATAAGCGGATGAAAATGGATGGATGATTGTAGATTATTAAAATGCGGTTAATCTAGTGACTTTCTCCTTCATATACAGCTATTTATCTCCAAAACTATTTTAGGGCACATTTGGCGAAACCGTGGCATTGCGTTATTAGGTTTTCATTGTCGAAGGGAAAATTGGCGAAACCGTGGCATTGCATTATTAGGTTTTCATTGTCGAAGGGAAAAACTGATAACGATTCCTACATATATTACATAATTATGCTAATATCGGCCGGGCAATATTATCAGACATCCCTTATTTCAACACAATACAATGATCCTGTACAACCCATGTTAAATTATTTAATTGCATTTTAAGCAATTCATTTTCAAAATTAGTTTCATGTAATTTCCTCTCCCCTTATAAAAAAATAAATATTAGAAGTTTCATTCTGGGGCAGACTCTGTCTGACACTAAAATGCATAATCTGTGCATAATCTCTGGATTTTACCTTTTACTGTTTAGGTTAATTTTGTTATTTCTCTTTCCGCAGGCTTCCCTTCTCCGGGCCACTTGTGCAACTTTTATCAGGACATTGGAGGACTGCATTACCCTGGCTAACCAGAGTTTGACCCCTGACCTCAGACCTCCTGAAAAGGTTGGTACACTGTTTTCAGATAATTGAATTTCTATCTGCACAAGTTTCAGCTCAATTTCTGCTTTAGGTTAGATTTTATTTGCATTTGCACTGGAAATGTTTCGTCACTTAACGACAGTCCAAACTATTGTAAGGACAAAGTCTACGTTGAAATGATGATCATGTTTCTGCTGCATTGGAAGGCATATTTTCTGCTGTAGAATCATGACAAAAGACAGGGTGATCATACAGGGAGTTTATACAGTTTGCACAGCGTAAAATGCTAGGAACATCTCATTAGCGTGTCAGTTCCTCCGTATTTGTACTGAAATACAAACTCTGTGTGTGTCCGTGTTTGTGTCCAGATGAAGAGGTCCATCAGTCACCCTGGAACATACAGTTTTGACAGGTGAGTGGCACAGACAGTCTTTCTTCTCTAACTTTACCGTATTTTCCAGACTATAAGTTGCACCAGCCACAAAATGTATGATGTAGTATAAGTCGCACCGGTGCCCTCTAGGGGCAGTCAGTGTGAAAATAGTGATCAAGTAAATTTTCAGTAGTACAGGAGTAGTAGATACTGGTACTGAAGCCTAGAGTGCCCTCTAGTTGCTGTCAGTGTTAAAATAACAAACGTGAAATTATGTTTTAAGAGTATAAATCACAAACCCACCTAAAGGATGAAAAAAAAAGTGTAACTTATAGTCCGGAAAATACGATAATAATAATAAAAATAATGAAAAAATATACTCTAACAAACAAAAACATGATCCAAATACTATCATCAACAGTAATGTTGATGTTTTCACATCTTAAATTTTGAAGGTTGTATTTTTGTTCAAACGATTTATTAACCTGACCTCATGTTTAATTTAGAACCTACAAGTAGAAATGTACATGGGCCAAGTATAGAAACTGTAATTAGGCAAAACTTGAAACTTGAAAAATTGACCTGTCTTTGGTGTCCTACACGCAGATCGTGTGTGCTGAAGGAGTATGGGAGATCATCCCACCGCAGAAGCCGGACTTGCTCTGACAGCTCTGTTTATGACACCGAGCGTAAGTACTACATTTAAAAAAAATAAAATAAAATATATATATATATATTGCCCATGTCCCAAACATTCACCTCAATGCCCGACTCCTTCAGAAAGAGCCTGGTTCAGCGCTTTAC